GTAAATAACTCAAAAAAAAAAATCTTCACAACCAATTTATAAGTAAACTCAAAGTCTCAATTTATATCCGCAAAAAACAAACAAAAACATCCCTAATAACTGAAAGTCCAAAACTGTCTGTCTCTTTTTATTTCTAATAATAATGTCCAAACAGGAGTTCCATATGCTCCGAACCCAAAATAAAATCCTGGAACCATTTAAGTCCAAAGTCCTTTCCAAAACGAAAAATCCAAATGGCAACCCCCCCCAAAAAAAGATTAGAAAAATAGTGGTACCACCAAAAATCCCCAAAAAGAAAAATAAGGTCCAGAGCGTCTTTCTTTCCCCTGGGCGGCGTCTCCTTGCACCGGGTGGCTTCCTCTGGGTGCAAACTCCATCAACCAGTTTTCTACAAATCTCTGCGGTGATCTGCGGCGCTGGGACAAACTCTGTCTGTGTTTCTTCTTTCTTCCTTGTTTTTAACAAACAACCAGACAAAAAATCCCACTGCACAGACCTGTCAGTGCACGTCTTCCTCACCTGTCGAGCCGCGTGCGCCGATGCACACGGCCCTTTTTATTCAAAAACGTTTCCACGGCAAAATAACCCAGCATATTAATTCCCATTACAATTTTCTAACCAGTGGAGATTTAAAATATTACCAATTAACTAACTGTTCTACAAGACAGTTTGTTGTTGGTACACTTTAATGTACTTTATACAAAAAGTGAAAAATAACATAGTGGTTATGTTACAGGGCTTCATAAACAAACAGCTTTGTATTATATAAACACAATATCAGATTTCCTCTAGATCAACTTGACCATAATATCCCTTACAGATCTAGTCTCTGAACAGGTTTAACAGCTCTACCAGATCTGGTTTGAGACAGTCCACTAGGGGTCTCGATAGGGCCAGGAGAGCTACCTCCAGAGCCTGAACATCAGGTGTGTTAGGTTCCACAGATTGTTCAACTGACTACCCCAACTCAGGCAGTGCTTGGGGATGACGACGATTTCGCCTGTACAGGGCTCCTTGTTCTGTAGCGATGACATATGACCTCTCTTTTGTACTCTCCCCAACCAGTTCTGCAGGTGTGGACCAGGTCTTCTGATTGTCCAGCCTAGCGAGAACAGGGTATCCTGGCTGCAGTGGTGGGAGCGGTCTCACACCATGCCGCTTAGTATAGTGGAAAGCTTGCTTCCTCTTCACCACAGCGTCCTTGGAGCTCAACGCTCTAAAAACAGTGGAGTTGGTTGTGGACTTCAGAAAGAGCGCAGCCCCAGCTACCCCCATCACCCTCTGTGACTNCTATTTTTGGTGGCTCTAAGGTGAAATATTTTCCAAAACATAATATTACTCCGGAAAAATGATTCTTAAGGTCCCTGAAGATTGTTTTGCAATAAATCTATACTTAGTTAATAAATGAATGACTGACCAAACTGCTTTTGTCTTTGTTTCTTTGGCAAATTCTAGTTCTAGACATTTTCTCTTTCCTCTCTCATAGGAAGTTTAATTTCTGCCAACTGTATGCAAATTTCAAGAAATATCAAGAGATTTTAATTAGAAATGATATGAACAACTATCATAAACCCAACCTTTGTAAATGCTGAATGTTTCTGTAAATGTTTGTGTTAAATGATATGACAATTACCATTAAGGGAACAAACATGTTAAAACTTTAAAATGTGCATCTAAATTTTATGAATATCTAAAATAATATTTCCTTTTTTTTTGATAGGGTTTTATATTTTCTGAAATAATAATCTGCTTAGAGCCTAATAAAGGATTTTTCTATCACTTAAAACCTAATTGTTTTTCTACCAATAAGCTTTTTAAGCAGGCTTTTCATTTTACACATCAAGTTTTACAGTTTGAAAAGGCCCTTTTAGACTTATTATGCTTGACTTGTTTTTGTTTTGTCATTCTCTTATTCTTGTTTGGTTTATTATAACAGTTATTGTTGAATAGCTATTATAGCTGTTATTTTTGTTTAGATGTTTCAAATTTGGCCTAATTTATTAAAGCCATATTGACTGGAAATTGATATGACAACAGCTCAAGTAATTGGCTATTACAATATCCCATTTAATATCAATGCAGGTATCATACAGCTTTCAATATCTGTCAGCCCTTCACCATAGTTCACTAGGGTCACTGAGTCTAATTACTTAGATTGATCAACATCTCTTATGGCTTTATGGAGAAAAGACCAAAGTTCTTATTTTTTGATTAAAAAACTGCATGGGTAGGTATTTGAGACTTAAAACATGCTTTCACTGAGAGTAGGTTAAATTATAGAACTTTCACTAGGTAGAATTATTGTAATTGTGTATATAATTTCTTATAAATATAAACATATAGGCAGATATAGCTTATCCTTCATGTTTTTGCCTAACTTCTAACCAACACCAGAAAAAAAGATTTTACAGTTTCACCCTGTTACTTAAATTACAGTGTTGACTTCCTATTTGTAAAAATGTTAGAAATCTTGTTAGTGGACCATAACGCATTGAATGATCTCTGACCTAAAGTATTTCAAAGCTGCTTGTTGGGTATGAATAATGTAGGCTCCTATAGTCATCAAAGACCTTGTTTATCCAAGGTTTCCAGAACAAGAACTACACAAGCAGGGGCAGAATTTAGTTTTTAGGCTCCTTGGATCAGGAATAAACTACCTGAATACCTTGGCTTTGCAGAAAGTATTTGCCCTTTAAAATCATGACTGAATATATTACTTTTTATGGCAGCTTTCACTTAAATATGTCGGATTTTTTTCTTGTTTTTGTCATTTTAGCATTTCTCTCCTTTTACAGTATGTGAACTTTCTTGTACATCCTGTGCTTTATGTGATGCCTCACTGATGTTTGAAATAGTTTTTATCTCAACATTTCCCTTCAATTATCCCTATGGGGTAAGATAACTGTCATTATGAACAGATGTGCAGATATCTGAGTTTGTAAGTGAAATTCAATTATGTAAATAAATTTAGGATCTGTGTTTGTCATCTTATGAATACATGTGGCATCAGATCTTTATGTGAGAGAATGGAAGTTTAGAAGTTAGAATGTTACAACTTAGCAACAATATAGAGTACACATTTATGATTCTGACTCATACATTTGTGATTCCCTATTTGTGATGGTCAAAGGTATTCCTCCAAAACCCTGACAGCCCAGGGTGCTGACAGAAAGCAGAGTCGTAGTTTAACACACCTCTCTGCAGCTTCTCTACTGTTACCCAGTCATTACTCCATCCAGACAGTGTCTTGCCCATGACCAAAATGAAATAAATCAGTAAATCATGATAATCAAATTAAAATTAAAATAACTCCAATTTGGGAAGAAAGTAAATTCTATTAAATGTGATTCGTTTACCATAATATCTCTTTTCATCAAAATGTCAGTTTGTCAATTACTTGATTTGTAATAATCAAATTGATTTGTTACCTCATAGAAACCTCTCTGTAGCAAGAGGATTATGTGGGAATGTTTAGGCAGCTCCCTATAGTTATTTCAATTTTCACATACTCAGAAATTCTGGGCGAGGAGGAGGAGTAGCAAAAATCTCTCTAATCTGACTTACTTCAAAATAACTTTAACAGAGTTCTCCTCCCCAAAGGAAAGTTTAACTTTAGGAGATTGTTGTCTGGTAATGCAGCTAAAAATGTCAATAAATCAGTTCCACTTTTCATGTCCTCTTAATCACGTTACATTACATAGACTCTAGACATGTCCTGAAGACCTAAAAACCTGGATGACCTTACATATAAACTGTGCCTCTATATAGAATTACCTTGCAAATGGTCAAGACTACAATTCTCAAAATATCAGTGGCTGTACATGCATTTATTTTTCTATAATTTACTCACCTGTACTGCTGGGGGTGTAGATTGGCTTGTCAGTCTGAATAAAAATGTAGCCCGATTGGAAGGAAACTAATACAACTTTCTCAAGCAGTTGACCAGGAAATTGTGCCTGAAGAGTAACATACTGCTTTACATCTCGCTGCCTGATGGAGTTTTCAGCTGGAATCTGTGAATGAAAAAAACAATTGGACTAACATGTGTGTGTGTGTGAAAATAGACCAATGTATGTTGAACAATTGTTGACAAACTTCTTGACAACAGCTCATGTTAACACACCCGAGAGAAATCTAACCATACAATATGCATCATCTGGCAAAAGTGTTAATGGATCTTTATGTTTTTTCATCTTCATACAAGATTTCCATAAACATCAAACATTTCTTATTGGTTTGCCTCAGAAACTTCAGAAGCTGAAACCTACCAAACACTGTTGGCTTATATTCTATTTCCTGCTTTACAGTTGCAGTGCAGTTGAAGGTAAATGATATGGTCAATCACAAAATAACTGAAGCTCAGTATGAATGCCTGTAGATTTTTAAACATCAACTTTGAAGACTTGGCACAGAATCTTGATATAATATGGCTATTCCATGACAAAAATGTATATTGATCTAAACCAGGGGTCACCAAGGGGCCCTCAAGGACCACATTCTGTTTCTCTTGTTTTTGATCATTTATAGATAATTTCATAACATTAACCACATAGAGCATTTCAGCGTATATAGGGATTTGAAAATGACAATATTAAAAAGAAAATGAGAAATTAAAGGTTAAAAATAATAATGTGTGTTTTATGGAGGAAATCTGGGTGAACGCTGCCCCCTTTTGTTCATATATCAGTATTGCTACCCCTTCCTATGAATCAGTAACCATGAAGTAGCCCTCAGCCTTAAAAAGGTTGGTGACCCCTGATCTAAACAATTTCAAGGTGTCTCTGGCTGTATGATATGATTGCTGTCCTGCTATAAGCTTTGCTCTGACTCTAGAATCTCCCACAGACCACATTTTTTGTAGACACTGTCCTCATGCTGCCACTGTCACATTTTCCTGTAAGAGGTAATGGTGTGTAAAAGAATCTTGTCAACCTTCATAAAACAACAATATAATTACACTAAGTCAAAATTTGTACTGATAATGTACATAAAAGTGAAAATACATTTGGTTCGAGTATATTTTATTGAGGTTATTTGGAATAAATGCATCAGAATAAATGTATAAATCACTCTGTTGCGATTTTTTTTTATTTCTCTTCTTCACAATTTCACAATTATGTGCTACTTTGATGTGGTTTATAATGTTGAAAGTGTTGTGCAGCATGAGAGGAATCAGGAGGCTTTATATTACCACATGAGGAAAAACAATACGAGATCAGTAGCACAAGGATGACACGGACTTCTTTGCAGCTGCTGTCCTTAGTTGGTGCTTGATGGTTATTTTAAATAAACTGTATCAATCAATTAATTAAAACCATACATGAAGCTTTCACCTTATGCCACATTAGTTTTCAAGTTGAAATGGGCAATAAGCATGGCTTTGGTCATATTATCGTGTTGTTTACAGAGGCCTTACTGGACTTTTTGTTGCTTTAGTTATATTAAGGGTCTGATCTTCAGAAGAATTGTGTGTCCCACCTAAGAAATGTGAATATGTGTTTTTAGACGCAGAGCAGATCTCTATAGAAGGTGCAAGTGATTTGTGTTAACAGTTCCGCACACATTATTTGCAAGTATTGTTTTTGTGTATTCCTTAAAAAGATATCTACAACCATCATTGACTAAAATGAGGTATTGGTAAAATGCCAGAGGATGGAGAGAGATTCTGTGTGCATGTAAACATATTTGGACCATCATAAATAATAAAAGTAAAATTATATTATTATAAAGAAAAAAGAATCTACATATGCTAGATATACTGTGAGCATACAAACTGATTTTAATGATTTAGTAACCATGAGGGACCCCTACCACACCTTCTGAGGAGTCCAGCATAACTTTTGGGCACCTCAAACCTCTAAGCCTCTTTTTCTATCACATTTATTCCTGAGACTTCCATCACAATTTGGAATTTTAGCAGAAAACAAAATTATGTATTATCTTAAATAAGAAACCTGAAATCAGGATGGAGGACTTCATGTAATTAGCGGTGGAGATTGACATGTTTTAGTTGAAGACTGGTCACAGCTAAAAGTGTGAGAATACCTAAAATTGGTACTAAGATCTGTATATGCTGAGCCCATAATGAAATAAAATAGTTTGAAACAAATGCTTTACCACAAGTTTTACGAGTTCCTGGAAATTTCTCTGCTTTGTAAGTGTCACAGATGTTGAAGCAAATGTTGTGGATTTGGTTGGGTGGTTCATCGCAGATATTGTAACATTTACATCCTCTTGACTGGCTTTTTCCTGGATCTCTATGAAAATGTTTTCCT